ATTTCAAGGCGCAGTGCATGATGGGGCCATTTTTTTTAATTAAGCCTTTGTTTGGTCAATATACAGCCAGTTATATGATTTGGTTACCATTTTTTGACACTTTTTTCAGTAATTAAACTTGTGACTCTTTTTTGCGCTTAAAAAGGGACTATTTCAAAAAAACGGCCCCATCATGTCCTGCATCTTGAGATGCTCTTTCCAACCAAAAAACAATATTAATATATTGAAGGAACCAGGACCGAAGAATTTGGGATGTCAAATGAGTCATTTTTTACCCTTTTTTGGTTCATATCTCCCTGAAACCTGAAGATTTTGGGCTGAAAATTTTATGGTGGTCTTCTGTTTCCAATCCCAACGTATCCTGAAAGTTTTATCTAATTGGGACGTTTCTGGGCTGAAATAGATTTTTGAGGGGGGAGGGGACCTTAATCGCAGATACCCAGACACCAAACGCAGTGATCTGGCCGATTTGGTACGATTTTCTACTTGATACGGATACTTTGACACGATTAAAGAAAGCCATATATAAAGTACTCACTTCTGGTCTTGATTTAGTTCGTGACATTGATCGACCAATTATCGTTGAAACATTACTTTCCTGGCTTCGGTTCTCGAGAACATCAGACATACGTGAGAGTCAACAGCAACGCCAAAAACACATACAGACTTTTCTCGCTACCAATCGACATGATTCATGGAATTCATTTATTGACAATTTGCGAACTTCAGTGGGAGAATTACTCAATGGGCTAGCAGAAGTTAAAATTAGCCGGGGGCAAAATGAAATTGAGTGTTATATTCGTTATGGTTTTACAGGTATGAGTCGAGAGGATTTTCATATCAATCCTATCATGCTTCAGCCTTCCAGTGGCCTGTATACTGGTCATTATGAAATGTATCCATTTCTAAGCTATTTTCCGTTCGAAAATGTCAACGAAATTGACGAATTTCAAGTAATTACTGAAGGAGAGCCGTATCCTATGTTTAAATATTGCTACTCACGGTTTGATCGGTGGATAAGAGCATGTTGCAAACGTGAAAAAGATATTTCTTGGCATCTATGGTGTGGTGATGCCCTGCATTTGACCTAATTCATACATCCAATTTAGGTGATCATATAGGTGTACTCAACATACTTGTCACCTGTATGCCACTTTTACGACATCGTTCTTCATTTCGTATTTTAACGCAAAGCCTGCTCTGGTGGAACATGTATGATCAATATTATGACTATTTTTTACAGTTATCAATGAAGGTGAATTATATTGGTTACCATCTCTGTTAGGTTTAAAGGCCGAATGTGTCTCAAAAAAGGAGCCAACCGTTAAGCAAAATGACTACCCATTGTGAATATCAGACATGGCTATTGGCTATTGGTGTTCAAGTTCGTTTTGACAAAATTCATCGAGATGTTCTTAGTGTATTTGATAAGATAGCTGAATGTTGTTTCTATCCACGAAATACACGTATATCAGCTTATGAAGGCAAAGCTATTTGTACAACTCTAACGTATTATCTTCTGTTGCGTCAGTATGCCAACCGTTGTTGTATAGCAGTCGATGAAATATTCGATTTTCTGTTGAAAAGAACATGCGATAAATATCGAGCATATGCCACAGCAATTCGTACTTTACATGACATGTTTACTGATGGCACTTACGTTGATACATATGAGCAGAGGCTGACATCTTATCCAGCTCATTACATATTTCAAAGACATTTACCGATGTTGCAATTGCTGATCATTGATCATATTGATAGAGACTCTACTGATGAAATATTACGTGAGATAAATGCAAATACTCAAAGTAATTTGGGAACAGGCATAATAAGATTATCACGCAGTGGAAGAACTTTTCCGATTCATTTAATCGATAATTTTGCATTTCGAAAGGCAATAAGTGCAATCAATGTGGAATTTATAGATACCATCCAGGCACATATGACGCTCGCTCAAAATGCTTTGCTTCATTTTGTTTTGCCGTCATCTTTTGTTAATTCTGGATCAAAATTGGGACTACTCATTGATACTCATTCATGATATTTGTTTTCAATAATCGATCTATCATCGCCACATTCAATTGTACATTCTAATGCATCATTGGCTATTGATGCTCGAGATGCAGTTTGTTCTTGTTTAGCCAATGTAACTGATCGCAATCGGATTTATGCTGATAATGGCTCGAAAAATAGTATTTTACTCACAGAAGCCTCTGAAACAAAGTTCACTTATCAATTATTATTGCAGGTGAACACAAGTTTCACCATGAGTCAAGTCAAGAGTGTAACATTGAACAAAAAAACACAAACTGTGCTAGTCAGCTTTTCTGACAAAAGTCGATGTAAAGTTTCATTCGCATTTCCATCTCCATTAGAGTCGTTTACAAGAGCACTACGCGTAGAAAATTCCATGTTCTCCGTAGAAATACCAAAAGATAGAGCAGAACTATTGTCACTAGTAATTTTCAATCGTAACACATCTTTTAACCGTGAAAGCCTCGAACTATGGTCGCCAGCGCGTCTCTCTAATGGTCAACTGATACCTCCAGCATTGAATATACGATCTGCGCAATTTACTGAATTTGATTTAAGCACCCTCGCTATGCATCAAAATCTCGACAGTATGTTCGCCGCCTTGGAAATAACCAAGGGACACGAAACGCATTTATGTTCGGATGTTGACTATAATTTACGACGTACTATATACGAACTATTTTTAATAGCATTTATTAGTCGTCGTCGTGTGCTTTGGTACAAAATGAAAGATAACGAACCAAATGCATCGAATGATATACGTTTATGCGATGATATTCTCTTTATTCTTGATCACATTTACAGGCGTTCTATGAACGATGAAGGACCACTTCTAGCTCTATTCTACTTCAACATGAGCCTAATTTCTGACGATAGTTATCAATCTGCTACAAATGAATTACAAAAGATTATACGACGTGAACTAGACATTCAAATGATGCAAATTTCTAGAAAGTGTGGTGCGAAGGACGCTACTGATGGACGTATTATTAATGTTTGGGATAACGTTGAAACACTTGCTGTTATGCGAAAATTTCTTCAATACAACTCCAAAAAGATGACTAATGAATCGCAGAGGCATTCATTTCCAGTACCGTGAAGAGCTTCATATCTCGAATTATTACAATCAGATAGTCGTGGATTTGTTCTACAGACTCCAAAAGTGTCAAGACAAAGCCCAAACATTTCTGATAGCAGTGAAGATTGTAATATTTCTTAGATAACATTTACGATACAAGAATCTTGACTAAAATACAATTTATCGAATAAAGGATCCCTGATTTAGTTACAACAGATCGTATTTTTTGCAATTCACTGCTCTCTACTATATAAAATACGTTTAGGTGTGTGTATGTATTGCCACACTTCAAACAAATACTGACACACTCACACCCAGAATCGATCTAACCAAAATTTGATATTACCTATTCTATGCTCAGCGTGCATGGAATAGTATTGTATTGCGGGGTGTGGGCGTGAGTGTAAGTGTAAGTATGGGTATGAGTATGATTGTGGGTGGTGTTCTTGCTCTTTTCGACACCCACACCCGTCCCAAGTCCAAACCTGGTTCAATCTTATATTAAAATTTCACAAGATTCGCGTTCGGTACGTCTCTGTCGACTACTGTGCCTCATATATATAGAAAGGTAGTTGTTTATTCATCTATCACTGAGCTCAACCTAGTTCAATCTCAGAAAACTCGGTATCAAAACTCGAAGTTCAATTCGAGTTTGATACATGTCTAATGTTGGCACCAAGCTAAGCTTTCTAGCGTTTAAAATGATGAAGAAATCTGAGATGCACGAAAATGCGAAGGTCGAAATTTGAAAAAAAAAAACATTATTTTCTTGTATAGAGGGTTCAGAAAAACCTATGTAATGTTCTTAAATCTCATCATAAAACCAATAAACTGTAATGCATTCGAGAGTAAACACTTTGTTCTGTCTAACCAGCTATGAATCAGAGAATTCACATATATTTGATCAATTGAGAGTGTTTCAAAAACAAAGACCAAAAATGTGCATTTTATTCTGGCTCACCTGTGACAGTTACTTCAATTACTGAATCTTCTTTTGTGTGTATATCCTGTACATTAAAAGTTATTATGGAAAAATTTTACTTTGTAATTTTAGAAAATATCACAGTTAAGAAGTTAATTAGAAGTTGTACGTAAATATTCGTATATAGTTCATTAATCATTGAAATCAACGATTAAGATTTGAAAATGTTTTGAATATTTTATAATCATCAGAATATTCAAATACGTCATCGAAAAATTCATTAGATACTTTTTTGAATCCAATTAATCGATTTAAAAGAAAGAATGAAATCTATTAAGAGACATATGCGAGTTCGAAGTTATAAAAGTTTTTTATTAAACAATTTCAAACTAAAGTAATTACAATAAATAATCTACTAATTATTTCCATTTTAAATAGATTTTATCCATAACATGTTTAATTATAAAATCAAAACGTAAATTTTCCCTATCAATCATTTTTTCGAATTTTTCAATCATTTCATCATGTGCTTCAGGAATAGAAAAACATAATAATCGAAGTAAAGAATTAGATACACCCTTAATTTCCGTTAAAATAAGTTCCATTAATAATTCAGCATGCGTATAATTAATACATTGAATTTGAAGATGATTTATACGTGAACATATTAAAAGTAACATATAAAGTTCATCCACATCTTCCATATTTTCAAAATAAATTTTTTGAATTTGATTTTTAGGTAATAGTATACAAAGAAATCCGATTTCATCGTTTGATAAATTTCCTTGTTTTAAAATTGTTAAAGAAAAAATTTTTAATGTTATAATGTCAGGTAATAAATGTAAAATCTCCATTAATTTATCACAACAAATTTTTGCATGAATTTCTAAATGATGAATTTGTGTTAAAGTTAATGCATAATTAATATAATCATTTAAGTATATTGTCTTTGTCCATTGTTCAGGACATAGATCATTTAGACGAAGTCGAATAGATTTTGATAAATCATCAGAAGAATTAATCATCATATTTTGTGTATCATATTCATACCATCTTTTTCTAAAACAAAAAAAAAAATATTCAGTGTAAAAACTTCTTTTTGATATATACTGATATGGACGTATTGAATAAATGATATTTTCAAATTCAAATTCAATATCTAATATCCATCGTCGTTGAAGCCAAAATGATGAAATAAATTGATCACGGTATCCAAGATATATTGGAGTTTCATAATTTTCTTCTAAATATGCACTGTATTTAAAATAAAATTTTTCTAATTGAGGTAATTTTGTTAAAATAAAATTTTCCCATCGATTAGCATCAAGATAATTAATATCTTCAACTATGGTTGTCAATGATAAAAATTTTATTTTCGAATTTAAATTATTAATAAATATTTGAAATATATTAAATGACATTGTGCTATATATATAAATAGAAAGATGTGTTAAATTTTGTAATATAATTGGTTTAACATTTCTAATATTTACATTTCGATCGGTAAGACTTAAAAATTTTAAACGACGAAGATTTGGAGTATAAGATGTTATAGCAAAAAGTTCATCGATAGCACAAGGATGATCGATAATAAGATGTTCAATAGAAGTTAGTTGTTCATCAGTAACAATTGGTAATGAAATAGTTATATCAATATCATTAGATTCCATTGCTGTATATTTGATATATTTTAATTTTGGTAAATTGAAAATTAATCGATAGGTATCACCTAACTCTTTTTGAGTAGACCATGTATCAATTATTAACGAGAAAAGACGAGGTAAACAAATCAATTTAGAAAGAAGTGTATTTAATAGATCTGGTTCAATGGAATTAAAAATAAGAGATTCAAGACGAATAAATGATGAATCGATGTTAAGTGATGAAATAATTTGACTAGTATTTTCTGATAACCATAAGTGAATTGAAAATATTTGATCTTTATTAAGGCGTAAAACTTGTTGATAATTATTCAAAAATATCTCTTTTGAACGTAAAGAATTAATTTTTAATAGAAGTGATGAAGAATTGATTAATTGTTCAAAACGATAATTAAGATTTGAAAAAGCATGATAGATTTCACAACCATTAAGATAATCGAAAATTTCATAAAACAATTCGTCAGAAAGATTTTCAATGGAATTTATTGACATACTAAAATGAAAATTTAATATTAATAAATGTTGTTTTCTTTTGTATGTGACTTACGTTTCTTGACTAAATCTAGATGATAAAATATAAAATAAATATATCTAGAACGAAATAAAGCGTGTACATGTTTGTTGATTATTTGATGAACTGATGATAACATATTCTTTTTCTTTTCATTTCTGCACAGAATATCTAAGATGAATCATAAACAGTAAACTACCCTCTCCCTCTATATAACACATTGAATTTTTTTAATAAATATTGTTAAAAAGAATTTCCGTAAGGTTTTTAGGTTATTGGCAAAATATTCATTCTGGTTATTTTCATTTCAATTAAACGTTATCGATTACATGTTTTATTTTATTGAATATTCTTCATCTTCTTAAGATAAACTTTAGAAATCTTATGTGTTAGTCGGGTTGAATATTGAATTATAAATTCTTCACCGAAAATACTAAGTCTTGACTAGGATTCATATATGTATATTTAATATTCTTTTGTGTACAAACTGTATGATTAATATCTTCATTGACAATTTCAGCTTGAAGTATTTATTGTCGTTCAAGCCAAAATAACGATATGAAAATGCGTAATATATTTGATAACCAAATATTTCATAGAAAAGTTCATGGGATGATTTTTCGATGGAAGTTACTGATATTCTTATAATATCTTCACTTGTTTTTTAGGCGCAAATGGATGAAAATGTATCTATTATTATGATAAAGTTGAATTAAAATAAAAATCAGTATTAAATTATTGAACAAAAATTTCTTTAGAACATGTCTATATACCGAAGAATAAATAGATTACAACTTTATTAAATACTTTTATATAAAAACAAACAGAAAAATCATTTCTATTTTAAATATTATACGAGAGCAGGTTGAAAAAAATTCCGTATACGATATAATAAAACGGGATAGAAAATTTACAATACATCGTGTTGGAAAAGTCTTAGATACGAGATGTGCATATTTCCAGCACTTGTGAATGTCCTGCAATGCTCTCTCTGAACACTTTACCCTTTAATATTACTACGTAATTGTACAACCATCAGTCGGGTTTTCGATTTAATAAATCATTCGATAAACTGTTTAGGTCTGATAATTGAGAGCGTGGATGTGGATGGGTATATGTATGGGTGTTGAGTGTAAGTTGTGAATGGGGGTGAGGCTATGCATATGGGTCTGCGTGTGGGTAAAAAGATCAACACCTACACCCACTCACACCTTCAGTTTTACTCATCTGTTTCATTACGTTTGACAAAATCGTATAACCAAAAATATTCGATTCTGTTCTTTATTTTCTAGTTTATTAATAAAGAATTGTAAACGATTATTGATCTTAGAATTGCAATCAATCAGTGATTTTCGTTTGACATGATGGATGAACATGGTGTTCTTTGTGTCGAGTATGATAATAAGTAGTGTTTTCGAGGCTTAGCGGCTTTCAGTTGGATGCACCGACAGATTCAGTCTGACATGTGTATGGGTACTAAATCGGTTGGTAACTGATACCAATTCTATCTCTGGATGGACGTACAGCAGATGGTTTTGTCTAATGTTGCTTATTAGGCAGCAGTTATCGACTTACGACCTGTTTGTTTATCATAAAAGCAGAATGCGTCGGTTATCACTACTTTTACATAGTTGCTATATTATTGATTCAAATTATGCTCAATCTTCTTGAGCTTTTCTGATTCATTCAGCAAGATGAGTATTTTCCAAGAGATAATTTTTTCTTGGTTTTAGATATCCAAATCTGATTCATTGGATAGCTTGATTACTCATACCAGTGTCCACTTCCATTTCATCAATATTGATATGCGCACAACTATAGAGAACTATTAGTATCACTAATATGTATGAGTTGAAATTCTCAATACATTTTGCATTAAAGCCTTAATATAAAGTTTTTTTGTAAATATTTCTCATCGCTCTGAAGAATAGTAAGCAAAAGCGTCATTATTAAAACTACTTTTGATTGGTAAAACTATTTGTCTTATGTCAGTAGAAAATTACATAAACACTCAACAAAAGATGTTCATAAATCAAAGATATAAGTCAAAAATATTTTTAACAATCAATAAAGAAAAGGAAGGTTTAGTTCATATTATAACAAGTTTATGACATTCATTTATTTATTTTCAACAAAAAGAACTTTTGTTTGGTTCATCAATTCATTTGACAAAAGACTAGAGATGAAGTAAAGTAAATAATAGATTAACATCTTCATAAATTATTATTATTTCCCGATTCATTCAAAAGGTCAATTTATAAACCAACTGCACCAAGTAATGCTTTTACAACATAATCTCCAAATGAAAATGGATATTTATATCCTTGACTACGACGTACTCCTTCTCGTTCGGTTATATAATCAGCAACAAATTCAACATTCGTCATTGTGCGATCCCATTTTGATAAATAACTCACATTTGATTCATTGCCTGTACAAGCAAGAAATGTTACATATGTTGTACTTGCTTGACGTTCATTGCGCATTAAATTTTCTAAACTTTGTATATCAACATTTTCATTGCGATTTGTTGAAGTTCCATCGGTAGCTACTAATACAAGTAAACGTTTATCACTACAAGATTTACTTGCTGCCAACTGAAAAATTCGTCTTAAAGCTGGTGTAAGTGGTGTTAATCCAGCTGGGCATTGACTAAATGATTCAGCAACTTGTCGAATATTAGTTACATTAGGCATTGATGGACGATTGAGAAAATGTATATCAATTTCGTTTGAATCAAATACAGTGCCAATTTCAGTAACTATACGTACAATACATCGTAATTGATCCCATCGAGTACGTGTTGTTCCATAAACTGGTGTATTCATTGAATCTGAATCATCACAAAGTACAACTATTTTCAATTGCTGAAGGATATTAAGACGTTGAGTGAGTGTATCATTTATTTCATATCGAGTAGCTATTGCTTGAAGACGATCATTTACTAAATATTTTATTTGATTTCAATATTCTATTTTTTTTTGTCTATGAAAATAACTCACTAGCTGTAAAGAAAAAAACAAAGAAATAAAACATTCAGTAAATATGAAGAAGAAAAGCACTAGCCTGTTGGTTGATAAACATAAGAATTTTGATATTGCCGTGGTGGTTGGTTATGTAGAGGATGTCCGTCATAACTTCCTGTTAAAGCAGAAATTTTGAGCGAGACTAAAACATTATTATTATAAGAATCTTGCAGAACAAGTAAGCTCCTCATACACTCTCGTCCATCATAAAATATAACATTACCTTGAGGTTGTTGAGGATTAGAACCGTGAGAGCTTTGATATCGTTGCTGTTGTAGAGCATATGGACCAAACAGGTTTCGATATGATTGTTGTTTTGAAGGATTTTGATACGATTGTTGTGGTAAATAACCATCTAAGAATTAAATAGATTAAATTTTGAACAAATATTAAAGAATATTTACTTTGCCGTTGCGGATATGAAATTGATGATTTACATCGATTGAGACACGTGATGTTGCCTAAAATAAAAATTTCTATTCAAGTGTTCTTTTGAGAAAAGCAGAAAGGCCGCAGAATGTTGACTGTTTTTGAGCAATCTTCAATCTATCTCTATTTATGATTTATTTAAGTCAGATAAATGGATAATTTATTCATGAAACGGTGACTCATTTAAACATTTCCAAATGAATGCATTTAAAACTAAAATTATGTTGATCGACTGCCCATTCTATAGTCTATTTTTGATAAAAGTTTCATCTCGAACGACTGAAGTGTTGCTAAGTAATGACGTAACTACCGTTCCAAATGATTATGAAAATCATATAGTAATATTACAATTTCTATTCACTTCTGTTCACCTTATTCAGAATCTTTCGAGCATAGTAAAAAGATATTATAGATTTTGATTGATTTTAAAAAATTGAAAGAATGACTTAAAACTAATCACATTTCAAATGAATAAAAGTGAATGTTCTTCTAATTGTTGAAAGTGTAATTTTTATGATTGGAAACGACTAAAACAGGTAAAATACATGAACAAATAGAAGATCTTGAATTTACCTTAACTCTCATCAAAGATTTCTTAATTTTTTGTAGAAGAATTAAAAAAATTAGTTCGAATAGGTTTTGTTAAACAATTTGAGTTTTTGAAATATCGAAAAATTTCAAAATGAATGAAAAACTATTCTTATCACTATGAGTTGAAAATCAATTTTAGATCATTCTCAAATCAATCCTAACTAAAGAGTAAATATGAACTTTGGTATACATTATTGGAGTTTCGTAACATTATATGTTCAATAGTAAAACTGTTTCCCAAAAACCGAAATCAATCGTATTCAAATGACTACTCTGTGTCCTATTCTAGAAATGATTTATTTCGGAACTTGAAATGATGTTCAGGAGAGTTTCATGTATTTCATTTCGGATGGAAATCGGTTCAATTGTGTCAAAATGACGATTTCCAGAGACATTTTATTCATTTTTCTTGAACATTTTCCTTATAAAAAGCTTGAAGAAATCTTTTCTCTATATGAACTGATAGTATAATCAATGCTCTATTTTTCTGTGTTCTGACATAATTTCGCAACCAATATCATAATAATAATGGTTATACTAGTATTTATTTACAAGGTAGAGTGTATATATTCTGAATAAGTTTTGATCGAAACAAAATAGGCAGTTACGACTTTCATCGTTCAAAGGAAGAAACAAAAATACATCGAATCGTATATTATGCATTTTTCTAATAATTGGATTAAAGTTTGTTTAATTAATTTTTTAAGGGTGGAAAAAAAATGTCTTTTTTTTATCAAAAAAATAGCAAAAAAAAACTTTTTTCACAGAAATGCCTAGAATACCTATAATTCCTGATTGATTAACTGTAAGCATTTGAAAATTGTGCAGTTTTATAGATCTTTCATTGATGATTTGAAAATACCAGTAACTATTGAAAATTTACTATGAAAATCTCACAGGATAGCTTTGCTTTCAAAGAGACCGATTGAAAAACCTTTAAAAAAGTATGTTTAAAAACCGCATAATATACCATTCAATGTATCTTTATCTTCTCTTTTGAACGATGAAAGTCGTAGCTCTCTATCTTGTTTTTATAAGAAGTTATTCAGAATATATCTTCTCCGCCTTTTTTAAATAGCCATTAACATAACTGTCACATATGACAATAAAATAGTTTCTTCTAACTTTTTACAATGAATTGAAGTACCACAGCAACTAATTTTGGATCGCACTCAGTAGTTTAGAAATATTAATGAAATGAAAAATTTTGATTGAATGACCAATAATTGTCCATGAAATTGTTTTAGAGTTTCTTTTTTCCTAGTTCAATCTACTCACAGTTTTGTTGTTCTTCTCGAATGTAGATTAGTCGATTCCAATCAATTTGATCATTATTAATAATGATGCTTTTATTTGTATCTTTTTGAATCAATTGTCTAAATGTTTGTTGAATTTCATTGAGTTTTTGTTTTAGTCGATCAATATCATGTTCGAGAAAATTTTCTTCTTCTCGACGACAACGAATTTCTTTTGCAATTGTTTCAAGTTGTTTTGTTATTTTGATTTTTTGTTTATCGATTAGTTTGATAAGTTCATGATGAGCTCTTTCTGCTGCTTTTTCTACTTTATTGATTGTTGTTATTTTCCATTCATTAATTTGAGCAAAAAGATCTGATAAGAAGACATCTGATTTTTCTAATTTTTGTATTTGATTAAGAAGTTCATCGTGGGATCTAACTATTTCATTATCGAATTTTATTGATAGTTGTTGTTCATGTTCTTTGAAATCTTTTGGACAAAAATGTTGTTTACATCCAATGCAAAAATATTTAATTGAAGGTTTATTGCAGATTGAACATACACTTGATTCATTTACTGTAGTCATTTCTCTTCGAAAACAAAATAGCCCAATCGATTATGTGAACTATGATGGGAATATTTATCAAAAAATCATTACATGATTAACTTAAAATGCTTCCTTTATGGCTCAAATCTAATCTCATTTAACGGTCCCAAAGATAAATCTTTCTCAATGTGTAATAGAAACGTAGAAACAAGATTATATCAGTCTTCAATCGATTTATATGATTATGACTTAATATAATGACATGAATCTTGATCAAAGTCGAGAAATTTGATACATCTCATGAATTCTTTTTAAAAACGGAAAATAAGTCTTTTGAAATGAATCGCTTTATATCGGCAGAAGTGAGAATTCAATGAAATATATCTAAATTAATTATACGTAATTACAACGCCTTTAAACTAGGAAAGCATAAAATATAACCCACATACGTTGATATTATACACAATGTTAAAATACAGTATTGTCTAATAAATAAGAGACACCAGGTAACATTTAGTCGAAAAAAGTCGAAAGTTAAAGAGTATACAACAGTACTGTAGTTTTATTTTTTGAAGAGAATATGTTCATATCTATATAAATATAAATAATCCAGTAATAGCGTTCTAGTAATGTTTTTTGTTTAATTTTATCTTCCAAACAATAAAAAAAATCTACAAAAAAAAACTAACTCAAATGTTTAGAATCTCATAAATTCTAAATTTGCAAGTGTTAAATCTTGCTTATGCACTAGGAAATATTTTCACTATTTGGAAGATAAAATAAAATGTTAAATTTCGCTAGAAGGCTATTGCTCGATTATTTATATTTGCATAGCCATGAATCTAATTTTTAAAAATGAATGAGATCTCACTACTGTTGTATACTCCTCAACTCCTGACTTTCCTCAAACTGATATTATCTGCTATCTCTTATTTATTAATAAATATTGGATCTATTTAAAAAGTTTTAGGAAATGAAATATTGACGTAAAAAGAACGAAGTACATATCATACACTAATTTTTTCTCTATGAGCATTATTTACCTTAAAATATAGCACAAACAATCAAGTATCTAATATAGAAGTTTCCTTTTTGCTACTCCAAATATATTTGATATTGCCTTTTCTATTTAAGAGGTGTATATATATATATATATCATATCGATGACAAAAAGCACCAAGAAATCAAAATATTTCTATCCAGACAAGAAAACAAATAGAGTATAATGAGCAATTCGTCTAGTCCATAATTTTTTCTATGGAAATCAAGGCTTGTCTATGTCAGACGACATATCCTATTCATATACTTAGACTAGTCGAATATTTCTCGAATTCACACTATGACTAATGTCCATTCTGAGAGTTGTAAATGAACGTAGAGATTTTTTCAATAGCTTTTAAATAGAT